CCGGAACCACCTCCAGGCTCCGCCCTCACCTGCCGGTCCCCCGCCCCTTGCCCAGCCCCCTCCTCCTCAGGTGAGGCAGCCTGGCCTAGCAGGCCCCACGCCACCGCTTCTGCCTCCAGGCCACCCGCTGCTGCGGGGCCACCATGCTCCTGCCCAGGCCTGGAGACTGACCCGACCCCGGAACCACCTCCAGGCTCCGCCCTCACCTGCCGGACCCCAGGGTAAGGACCAGGGCCCCCAGACTCACAGTTCCAGCCCTGAGGACAGGGGTTCCCTCATACCCCCACCCAGCCTAATGCCCACCTCCTAATGGAGGGGTTCTCGGGGACCTGAAGAGGGTGCACTGTGACGTCCCCCCAAGCACCTAGGTGTTCTGGCCTGCTCTTCCTTCAGACTCAGCGGTTGAACCCCAGTCCTTCCTCCCCAGACCCAGGAATTCCAGCCCTCAGGCCCCTCCTCCCTCATACTAAGGAGTCCTGGCCCCCAAATTCCTCCTTTCCCAGGACTTATGATTTCAGGTCCTCAGCTGTCTCCTCCCTCAAACCCGATCCTCAGTCCCCGGCTCCACCAGGCTTAGGCATGGGGGTCCCCAGCCCTGCAAATCCAGGCGTCCCCCCACTGCTGGTCAGACACTGACCCCATCCTTGAACCCAGCCCAATCTGCGTCCGTGATCACGGCGTGCTCTGGCCAAGGCCCAGTCCCTACAGCCTGCCTGGATGGACGCCTGGGACTGGGGGCGCCAGGACTGGGCTGGGCTGGGCTCCCCCAGGCCCTGCCTCCCCGTCCATCTCCTCACAGGTCCCACCCTGGCCCAGGAGGTCAGCCAGGGAATCATTAACAAGAGGCGGTGACATGGCGCAGAAGGAGGGTGAGTCCCCTTCCCTGAGCCCCAGCTTTGGTTCTGCCTGGCGCCCCGCCCTCTGTGCTCTCTTCTCTACCCTCTACTCTTCGGAGCCCCCTCTCTCTGGGCACCCCTCCCAGATGTATCCCCACCCCCTCTTAGTCCTCCTCCACCTGATTAACTATTAACTACATTTTCTGTGCAGCTGTGCCACCACCAGCCTCCCTTCTACCCTATATGACCTTCCTGGCATGCTGCCTCAGTTTCCCCTCATCCCCCAGTGATTTCTCAGCTAACCCTGGACTTGTCCTTTACTGGGGCTGAGGCGGGGAGGCTGTAGCTGTCATGGTTAAGGACACAGGTTTGGAGTCAAACACACAGGCTTGCATTTGAATTTGCTCTTGCCACCTTTTTTGCTGTGTGATCTTATGCAAGTGACATTATTCTCAGGGCTTTGGTCTCCCTCTGGGTCAAGCATGGATCCCAGTCCTCCCTCCATGAGGTTGCTGAGTGCATGAGACACACCAGGCACTGGCTAGGGCTCTGCATATAAGACACATGCCGTCAACCAGAGCTGTCATGACAGAGGTTGGCAGACTCAGAGTCCCAGAGACCCAGGACCCCCACCGATTCCAGACATTCCTCCACCTCCTGGCACTGTGGGCAAAAGAGCAGAGGGAGGACTTTGGACTGGGCCTGGATGGATGGAGAGGGGAGAGGCGGCAGATAAACCACCATAAGGATGACAGAGAGAAACTGCGTGATGGAGTTGCTGGCTCTTGGGAGGCTCCGGGCAGCCCTCAGCTAGCCTGGCTTCCTTTCTACCTCTCACACACGGGACCCAGCTGGAGGGGCGCATGGAGGGGCGGCCTGTTCTTTCCGCCTTCTCCTAGCTGGGGCTGACTCCCTCTCTTCTTCCTGCAACCAGGCTAGCTGGGCTCAGTCCCAGGCAGTAGCATTTTCTAGCTCTATGGCCCTGGGCAGGCGGCGTGTTCTCTCTGGGCCTCCATTCTCTCATCTGTGAAATGGAGAGGGTGACAGTGCATGTCCGACAGTGTGGGGCGAGGCCTGAAATGCCAGGATGGGCAGGAAGCACTGAGCGCGTTGGCTGAAATGATTAGTTCAGATCTCTGGCCTCCTCGGGTCTCAGCAGAGCTGGCAATTCAGACCCCAAACCATTCAACTGCGGTCCAGAGGGCACCCAGGCTCCCAGTTACTCAGGAGAAGGCACTGCACCCCTAGCTGAGCAGGTGGATGACAGAGTCCAGCTCCTTGGGGACAACATCTTTCCTGGAGCTGCCGGAAGGACAGCACCCGGGCTTGGGCCTATGGGTGAATGAGCCAGGGAAGAAAAGCAGAAAATGTCTGGATGGACAGAGATGGCCTGGGTACAAAGAGAAACAGACACAAAGTGGGCTCTGGTGCCTCCCTGGCAGCTCCTGGCTGGTCTTGGAGGGGAGTCCTGCTGTCAGGGCTGGGGATGTGGGAGTCGAACCCGAACACAGATGCTGAAGCGTTCCAATTCGGCACTTACTTGCCGGGTGACCCGGGTTTGGTGGCTGCTAGACTTTGGGCCTCCTTTTCTCATCTATAAACTGGGGGTGATGGCAACGGCGCCTTCCTCGTGAACAGCTGCAAGGATTTAAGGATGCTGTGCAGGACTGGACGGGGTTAGGGCAGGGCGGTGTGTCCGTGTGTGGTTCTGAGATCCGTTGTGGCTGCTGTGGCTGCTGTTGGTGGTGTCACTGTTATTGCTGCTGGCCTCTGGGTGCTGCCTGGGAACTTGGAACTGGAGGAGGTGATATTGGAGTTGCAATTCCAAAGATGCCAGGCAGAGGGAAGAGCAAGGCTCTTCCTCTTCTGTGGGAAGCTGGGAGGTGACACAGCGCTGGTGTGCACATAGCCAGTTGTGGTAATTCTGGAGGTGAAGTTGGAAGTGGAGCTGGGTGGGAGAAGAGGTGTGCAAGCTGGACCAGGCAGGGGTGGGACTGCTTTGAGGAAGAGCCGGCCAATTCCTCGCAGTGCCAGGTCTCTCCACAAGGTGGCGCCAGTGGTTAGTCCCTGCTTCTCTTGTCTAACTTTTATTTCACAAGTTCTACTGTTTGGGTTGTTTCTGGAAGCTCTCTCTGGTGCCTGATAATGACCCACATGGTTGTCTGGGAATTGGGGTAAACATACTTCCAATTCTCTAAAAGCCATGCTTATGCCCTAGTGGGGCTGGAAATGCCAGGCTGAGGGACTTAAGCTGTCCTGGGGGTACTAAGGAGTCACAGAGGGCTCTATAGGTAAAGAGGGGACAGGTTGGATTTGGTATCTCTGTAGGTTCCCCAAGCCTCCGTGTAGAGGGTGGGCTAGAAGGGAGACTGAGCCCACCAGTTGGATGGGGCTGGAGCAAGGTGGAGATGGAGGGAGAGAAGGAACCGGGAGAAGGAGAGTCACTCAGGAGGATTGGCAGGCTGTAGGGGGACGGGAATGTTATGCAGATGGGGATGGTCCTAGGAGTGAGGGCCGGCCTCTGAGACAGGACCTGGGAGGAAGAATATACTTGGGGAGACATTGAGGTCATTCTGGGACCTGGTAGGGGTAAAGAGACTAGGAGGTCCCAGGGAAAGGTATTAAAAAGGTATTTAAAGGACTGCAGGAACCCTGACCTGGGACCTGGAAGACCGTCTAGGGCTGGGGACAGAGGGGAAACTGAGTCCACAGAGGTGGATGGACAGACTTAGGGGTAGGGAGCAGTAGGGGGGAGGCTGCGGCCAGCCCTACAAACTCCACATTT